GGTTCGTGCCCCGGGCTGACGCCATCCATGTTTTTATCCATTGCGAACATGCTGCCCTGTAACCAAGATCGTGGGGATCCTTCGATAACTGTCTATAGTGTACCTCAGCGTTGTTGCTAACTCACGACTGGTAGCAATCGGCTGCGCCTCTGGGAAGTTGAGTAAACGCTCACCATTCACCACCTACAGCTGACCAAAGCAGTGCTTTACTTTGAACGAAATTTGTTTTCCGGTTGTCTAATGGGCATTTTTAGGACCGCTCAGTACACTAGTAGTTAAAATAAAGATAAAATAAATATTATAATAAAAAATAAATATATAATAGTAATACTAAACCAACAACTAACTAACTAACTGTAAGCAAAGTAATATGTACTCTATTTAGTGTTTACAAGTGATGGATCGTGTTCTTTCGTTTTCTCTTTTCTGGGGGTGGAGCACCATTGAGAACTACTGCTTTTGGATTAACGCTGGTTAAAGGCAAAGTTCGGGCTCAGACCCACCTAAGAAGCCCTTACCATGGCTAGAAGCTGGGTACGCAAGTGCAAAGGTAGCGCCACCTTTCTACATCGAAACGCGTCACTAGGACCCTAGGCGCCATGGACTTCTAACAGACTCCACCAAACTTAACATGGTCCGCCCACCGTTCGATATCTTGTCTGCGTCGCCACGTTGATCTGCTATGCTCTCTCTTCTCGGACTTCTCTACCGCTCTCCGCGCTCACATTATCTCTCATCTCCCTGCCTGCCTTTTGAACTTCTCCACAGCATAGAGCAAAATGCTCGTATTTCCTGTGTATTTCAGGATTTTCTTCCTTTTTTCTCCACTGGCGGTCCACCTCCCATCCCTACTTTCACATTTGAGTGGAATCACCTCATCAATTTAATCCTGAATCTTGCCTTTAAGTCGGAAGGATTTGGTAAACGCCACCCTACAAGCGTTCTCGGCGAATCACTGGTTCTTTGATCGACATCTTTTCGACGGAATCGCCAAGTCTGATGAATCTCCAAGCCTCCCAAAATGCGAAATGAACTACGAAAGTTATGTTGTTGTACTTTGTCTCTGGAAGAATGGCTGAAGGCGGTAGCCTACGGTGTTGGAGACGCACAAGCTGCTCAAATGTAGCCCTGCCATGCTCCACAGGAGGCAAGTAAGGAAAAAACCGTAGCAGCGACATCAAGAAGGTGAAAATAAGTCACCATGAAACGTCGAGTCCACACTACAAGGCGACCGCTTGCGGTCTCAATTGGTGAACGTTTCTAGAATAGAGATTCCTAAACCGTTGATGTGTGAGTGAGGTGTGTAAGGCCGATGTCAGACTTTGCGAGTCGCGCGATTCGCTAGTGTCCGCGGTCGTATTGCGGTAC